ACAAACGTACATAATACCTTTTTAGTTCTTAATCGTCTAATGTGTGATATTTAACTTTAACCAATTAAATTTCCATATCTAACGGGTGTTTATACTCCATCCAAAAATTCACACACCCCTTTACAACTAAAATCATCTTCAGTCTCGCTAACAACAATTTTCTCAATATGATACGATTATATACGTTACTTAGTACTTTGTATAGTTTTAATGCAAGAAAACAGCCCCTAAAAACGTTGCTCTTCTCTTCCTCTACCACCATTCTTCCCCAACCAACTCCCGTCTTCCACCTTCGTTCTCTCTGTAAATCCCTAACAAAAATGATGAAAACATAGAAACAGAATCACGAAATCATACACGTTTATATAAACAAACCATAGAAACACTTGAAGAAGATCCATACTGCTGATCACAGAGCTGATAAATCATCAAATTTTGCATGTCCGCGTTGCATGATGTCTAATAATGCATGATCTCTCATTCTATTTAGTTTCGCCTCAAAGGAAAATCTCACTCTCTTATGTATATGTTGACGATTGCAAACTTGAAATCCATCATCCTATATACAGAGGGTGTTGGTAACAGCAATGAACATCATAATCCATTTCTTATGCCTGGGGATTGTGGTTTCATGTATTATAACCAATGTACACGCGATAAATGGAAGCCAAGGAGATACATACTCTTTCGTATTGGGTTGTGGAGCCAAAAGCAACGCCAGCGATCCAGACGGCAGAATTTGGATTCCAGACACAAATTTCCTCAGATCTTCTTCTCCGAATGATACGATGACCGCCATAGCAGAATACCAGGATCCTTCTTTGTCCTCCACTGTCCCTTACATGACTGCGAGAATCCTCAAGGTGGAATCCACATACTCCTTCCCTATTTCTCCAGACTCTCGCCATTGGATCAGGCTTCATTTCTATCCATCTTCTTACCAAAACTTCAACTGTTCCAATTCCTTCTTCTCCGTTAAAATAGGTAGGTTCACTCTGCTCAGTAATTTCAGTGCCTCGATCACCGCCCAGGCGTTAACTCAAGCTTATATAATCAGGGAATTCACCTTTCCTCCTCTAGGGTTTAGTGTCCTTAACCTCACTTTCACCCCTTCAACAGATTATAATGGCTCCTTCGCGTTCGTCAATGGCATTGAGCTAATTCCGATGCCGGATATTTTCAAATCCGCGTCTCGGGTTGGGCTGCTTCAGGACTCTGTTGATACGACATCGTTCTGGATGCAGTCAATGTACAGGCTGAATGTTGGCGGTCAGTTCATCTCTTCCAGCCAAGATTCCGGGTTGACCAGAACTTGGTACGACGATTCGCCTTACTTGTTTGGGGCGGCGTTTGGGGTCACCAGTAAGGCTAACAAGAGCGTGAGAATTGAGTACTCGTCAGATTACCCCAATTACATTGCTCCTTTGGATGTTTACGAATCTTCTAGGTCGATGGGGCCTTCTGCAGATGTTAATATACACTATAATCTTACTTGGGTTTTCCGGATAGACGGGAACTTCAGTTATCTGGTAAGGATGCATTTCTGTGAGTATCAGCTGAGCAAACCAAATCAGAGGGTATTTTATATTTACATCAATAACCAGACGGCGGTTGCAGGGGCTGATGTGATTGGGTGGGGAGGAGGGCAGGGTGTTCCAATCCACAAGGATTTCGTGATCTATGCAAAAGATAGAGACGAAGGTGACGATGAAGACTATGAGCTTTGGGTGGCTTTGCATCCCAATGGAGACTCAAAGCCCCAATTCTTTGACGCAATCCTCAATGGGTTAGAGATTTTCAAATTGAACGACTCTAGGGCAACCCTGGCAGGTCCAAATCCGGTTCCGCCACCACCAGTTCCAGATCCGAATTCGCCTAAATCCCGATCTTTCACGAATTCAGACACTAGTCAGCGGGGGATAATAGTTGGGTCGGTCCTTGGCGTGGCCATGGGTTTTGGGGCAGTACTATGTTTTGTTGCTTTGCAGAGGCGGGAAACAACAGATAGTGGTAGAGGGGAATCAAGCCGCAGAGGTTGGCTGCCAGTGTACGGAAGCTCAAGATCAACCGAAACAACTACAATTTCTGCCAAAAGCAGCTGCAGCAGCAGGATTTCTAATCTTAGTGGACTGACCAGGCACTTCAGTCTGGTGGAGATCAAAGCCGCCACTAATGATTTCAGTGACTCGTTGGTCATTGGGGTGGGAGGATTTGGTAAGGTATACAAAGGGGAGATCGACGGAGGAAGCACAAAGGTAGCGATAAAGAGATCGAACCCATCTTCTCAACAAGGAATTCACGAGTTCCAAACAGAAATTGATTTGCTTTCCAAGCTTAGACACAGGCACTTGGTGTCTCTGATCGGGGCATGCGGGGAATGCGATGAGATGATATTGGTGTACGATTACATGGCGAATGGGACCTTAAGAGAACACTTGTACAAACACAATAATCCTCCATTGTCATGGAAACAGAGACTGGAGATATGCATTGGTGCTGCCAGAGGACTCCACTACCTTCACACCGGTGCAAGGTATCTTTCCCAAAGCTCTACTTTTTTGTTTGTTTTCTTGGTTTGTGTAAGTATGTTTAGCACCAACTTGCTCGTGTTCACTGCCCATTTCGTACTTGTTGGAGTTTAAGTGGGACTTATTTTACTGTTATTGTTTGTTTGGTAGAACAATTCAGGACTAAATATGGATTTAAATTATTTATAAAGATATGGGTGATGAATTATATAGGCTCACATTGATAGAGTTAGTAAGCTGTTATGATTTAGGAGCATGCGGTCATAAACCCCATATTTTTTGTGGAGTCATGAATGTGAGTTTCCTAGTACGTGTACTAGTGACAAGTATGGTCGTATGGAGTACCTTTGATAGAAATGGTGCTCAAGCTTTCTTGACGGTTAACCCATGTTTAGTTGAAAAGAAAAGCAAGGAAATATAGCAAGTTGGTAGTAAAAGGAAATAAAAGAATGACTTCTAGATGTTTGTTGTCCATGTTGAATAGAGGAAAGAAAGTGTCTTGTTTAACGGAAAGTAAAAGGGAGAAGAAAGTTACTCTTCACTCAAAAATTAGACATCTCTCTTTTCAACCTTTTCTTTCTTCATAATTTCTTTCGCTTTCCTTTCATGCAATATAAGAGACCTATAATGTTTCTTTCCTCGCATTTTATTTCATTTTCTTCACATTTTAGGTGAAAATATTTTATAATCTAAAAAATATATTGGGCTGTTTGTAAAAACTGATTTTTTTTATAAAGCCGTTGTACATAAAGGCAGGTTTTGAATTATGTTTCCTCATGAGAAACATCTTTCCCAGAGTCTAGATAGCAAAAGAAAAAAACATCAATACTAAGTAGTTTCTAGTGCTGGATATTTGTAAGTTGAAGAGACTTTTAGAGTTGTGCTCGTTTCTAATTTTATATGGAATCATTTATTAATTGCTAATTTTTCGGAATTCTGAAATTCATGGTTAATTAAAAAGTTTATGAATATGAAGTATTATTATTTGCACAATATCCCTCTATTCTAATTTCTATATAATTGTACATTCTCCATGCATCTAGCTTTTACCACGTTTCTCCATTTCTTTTTTCCAATGTTGAATATGTGCTTTATAGAAGTGTATCATCATTATACACTTTATAGTGTCACATGCATGACTTTATTGTTCTCAACAGGTATACCATCATCCACAGGGATGTGAAGACTACAAACATCCTTTTGGATGATAGGTGGGTGGCAAAGGTGTCAGATTTTGGGCTTTCGAAAACAGGCCCTGCCCTGAACCAAACACACGTGAGCACAATGGTAAAGGGAAGCTTTGGATACCTGGATCCCGAGTACTTCAGGAGACAGAAACTGACTGATAAATCCGATGTGTACTCGTTCGGAGTGGTCTTGTTTGAAGTATTATGCGCAAGGGCAGCCCTTGACACCGGGCTACCCAAAGAGCAAGTTAGTCTAGCAGAATGGGCCTTACAATGTCATCAATGGGGCAAAATCGATAGCCTAGTTGATCCACACATCAGAGGGGAGATAACACCGGAATGTCTAAAGAACTTTGTGGGGACGGCATTGAATTGCCTGTCCGATCAGGGAATCCACCGGCCAACTATCGGCGCTGTTTTGTGGAACCTCGAACTCTCGCTGCAGTTGCAGACTAACCCGGATTGTCCAAAAGTGTTGGCGGAACAGAAAGCCAACGATGCTTACGTCATGCATGCAGGGTTGTTGAGCATCGAAGAGGAGAACAGGGGAGGAAATGATGAGGATGAGTCTCAAGATGCAATATTCTCACAGATTGTGAACCCTCAAGGAAGATAGCTACTGCTGGAGTGCCGGTAATATTATTTTGCCGATGCTATCAATGTGTTTTTCAAGTTGGAATTGTTGCTTCTCGGTAAAAGAATGGACTTTGTCTCGTGTATATTGGTTGGAAATTCTTCTATTAAAAAAATAGAACTAGAGGAAGACTCAAGCTCACTCAACTACAAAACACGTCCATTTGCGCAATGAAACAGATCTATTTATAGCCTAAAAAGTATAGAGCAGAGGATGCACAATCCAGTGATTCACCATCCAAAGAACCGTGCTCAAATATGCTTGTTCGACATTCATGACTTCTTTGTCAAAAAGGAGGCTGGGTTATTTGCCACCGTGGCCCTCGAATCCCTATTCCAGGAAGTGCATAGAAGAGTTAAATTGCGAGATGTGTAGCAGAGATAGGTAGCTAGGCGTGAAGCAGGCCGGTAAGAGTGCTTCCTAGTTAAGCTACTAGCTACTTGTTATTCATTACTTATTATTCTATTATTACGTACATATTATACATTACCCAATTTTGTATAGGTTGTGATGGATAAATCAAAGATTAATTAGCTGAAGAATGATAAGAGTTTCGTGTGACACGTACAGAGAATCAACTTATGTCATTCTTGAAACACACGGAGTATAAACAAGCAAGAACTAGAATCCTTTTAAATAATAAGTTTTAAACGAATTTATAGAATGATTTTGATGAAAATGTCCTATATTAATTTCAGGCATTATACTTCCTATCCACCTAAGTATATCATGATGGACGAATGTATGTGAATGAAATATTAAATGGGTGATAAATGGAATGCGTGATGAATGGATGGATAATTGATGGGTGGATGATGGTAGACCCAAATGCCACTCAAATCCCATCCATTGTCATTGCTAGGCATGGACTGGGCCGGTTCGGCCCGACCCGGCCTGGTACCTGGTCCGTCCCGCTACTGTGCGGGTCCATCCCGGCCCGGCCCGGCCCACCGGGGTGCCCGAACCGGGGGTATTATGGGCGGTTTCGGGCTGCGGAAAAGGTGGACCGGTCGGTCCGGGACCGGTCCGGGACCGGTCCGGGCCTATTTTTGTTTTTATTTTTTATTTTTTCCATTTTAAACAAAATTAAAAGAAAAAACCTTGACCCGACCCGGGCCCAACCCGACCCGATCCTGGTTCAAACCCGGGCCGGTACCGGGCCTGGGGCCCAAAAACCTAGGCCCGTCCAATCCTGTCCATGGTCCCGGTCCGGGCTCAGACCCGGGCCCAGTCCAATCCTAGTCATTGCTAGTCTGACATACATGTATCAAACCAGGGATACAACAAGTCAACAAATGGGATACCACATTCATCGTCTTAACAAATACTGGCTTTACAAAAAAAAATGGTAAGCTATAGTATCTACCAAAACATTTACTGTATTGGTATGTTATTGAATTGAATTTCACGTGATTTTTTACATTATTATTATAACATTAGAGGGGAAAGTGTCGGGTCCGGTATGTCAAATTTAATGGGAGAAACCGAGAAACAATTGAGTTAGAATAAAAATATTGATGGAGTATATGAGCCTGGACCCCAGGGCCCACATACTCGGGAGAACAGAAGGTACCACGACCACCTGGTGGGACCCTCGTTGGCCAGATGACCCCCATCGGCCAGATAGAAGTCTACTCAGAATGTGATCCAAAAGTCGGGAAGAGCCAGGTGACCTCATCGGCCGGGTCTTCATCGGTCGTGCCCTCGTCGGTCATGCCCTCGTCGGCCATAGACAGTCTCCAGAACAGGATTTACACTTAATCTTTTCTATGTACTTTGTATCCGGCCCATTAGTGGCCCTATTGTAGATGGGCCTCCCAAGCCCAAGACTTGGGAGCCCAGACCTAATTTTTCCTATAAATACTCCTTCTGGGAGTAGTTGTAAGGGTTCACAATTCATTAATACAAAGCAATTATACTACTTCTCTCTCTAGCTCTCACTTCTTTCTAGACTTATAGTCTATCATTTGGTGCTTTCATTGAGAGCTAGAACAATCAAGTTAGCCTCCTTCGTCGCTACCAAGCACAACTAGCTGACAATGGGAAGAACTAAGTCAAATCGCAACCTCATCGGCAAGGCCATCCCTGAGGCCCAAAAGAACCAGGAACACGAGGAGGACGCCACGGCCGACAAGGCCGCCGAGGGGGATGTCTTCCAGGAATCCATCGACCTCGCAGGTGACCTGCGCAACAAGCTCAACGGCGGCGGCCCTGACACCCGCATCGGCTTGGACAAGAAGCGTGCGGAGAAAGGTGACAATGCCTCGGCGCAACCGGCCTCTCCTGTTGTTGACCCTCAGCTTCAGGTCGCGCTCTCGGCCATCATCGCCAGCTTGGCCCAGAACCCCACCGTCCTCAGCGCACTCATTCCAAGGACGGGGGAGAACACGACGCCGCCTCCTCAGCCCCAGCCATTGGCCGTCAGGCTAGGCAACGATGAGGGGGTGGTGCCCCAGTACACAACGTCGTCCCACTCCCACCCTGCTTCCCCGCTTCGAGCTGGTCCGACCCCAGCGCGTGGAAAAGCCTCAGCCTTTAATAGGCTAGGTGACACGTGTCGTCGGCCTACTTCGGACAGGATGGCGGGGCGGATTGGGCAGCGTGAGCCTAACTCACCCAGGGAAAGCTTGGGGTCGATATCCCGGACAGCGGATCCGCCCCGCCTGGACAAAGGCAAGGGGAAACTGCATGAGGATGATGCCCGTCACCAAATCAACACGGCTCATGCAGCCCGCTTGCAGACTCAGGGTGCCACCATGTCCGCCAGGGACCCCAGGGACGAGGTGATCGCCCAACTCGAGCGAAGGCTCGCCCAGATGGAGGCCAAACAGCTAGCCGCCACGACCACCGGCAACTCATCCAGAGATCCCAGCTTCAACGCCCTTCTGAACAAGGTCACTATCCTTGAGAGGGAGTTGGCAGAAGGACGAGGGGACCCCATCATCCAGGTCAGGATGAGGACCCCCTTCACCGCCAGGGTACTCTCGGCCCCTATCCTCGAGAAGTACCGGGGAAACGCCACCAAGCCCTATGACGGCCGCTCCGACCCCCAGGAGCACTTCAGCCGCTACCAGAACAACATGTTGATGGTGAACGCGTCAGATGAATACCTCTGCCGCTGGTTCCTTTCCACTCTTGAGGGCCAGCGTATGAGTGGTTCAACGCACTCCCCGAGGGGAGCATAGACTCGTGGCAGGACCTTGCCCAGCGCTTCCTCACTCACTTAGCCGGAAGGAAGCGCGCAAAGAAGTATTTCACCCATCTTCTCTCCGTCAAGCAGCAGCATGACGAGTCACTCCGGTCATTCATCGACCGATGGACGAGGGAGACCGACGAGGTCGAGGGGGCGATGAGCGCACCCTCCTCATTCTCTTCCAGAGTGCCCTCCGCAGCACCCCATATGTGAGGAGCCTCATCACTGACCCACCGACGTCCTATCTGAAGGCGCTTCAGCGAGGAAACTTGTACGCTGACGCCAACGAACTCCACAGCCACAAGAAGGATGGGGGACACCCCTCCAAGAAGACAAACGTCGCACCAGCTGCAGGTGCACCCTCGGCCGAGGACCGAGGACAGGGAGGACAAGGCTACCATGGTTCTGGCAGAAAGAACAAGGACCGCATATGAAGGCCGAGGATGGAGAGGTCGAAGATCCCACTCACTCATCCGGTCAGCTCCATCCTCGATTATGCCGAGGAGCACGACCTCATCAAACGAGATCCTCGGTCGGCCAAGGAGATCTACGCCGTCCATCAGGGCGGCACCTACCGCCGTTATCACATGAACACCTCCCACAACACGGACGACTGCGTCACTCTGAAGAGTGCCATCGAAAAGCTAATTCATCGGGGGGAACTCTCCCAGTTTGTTAAAGGTGGCCCGCGCAAAAATACGTGGGTAAACACCGGCAAACATGGGGGCGAACCCTCTACGAAGAAGCGTGAGATCGGAAGACTCAGTGATGACGACGAAGACTTCAAAGAGCCCCCTCCGAAGAAGAACCACATCAACCTCATTGTGTGGGGTAACACTGGGGGGGATTCGGCCACCCAGAGGAAGAAATGGGCCCAATCCCTTTACATCGGGGGGTGTCCCACGCTCCCTCCAGCCGAAGAAACAACGGGCGGAGGCGATCACCTTCACCGACAAGGATCTGCCTCCGGGGCCCGCATCACACAGGGACGCCCTCGTCATCCAGTGCGAAATAGGTGACTCTATCATCCACCGCACCTACATCGACACGGGGAGCTCCGTCAACGTCATGTACCTTGACACCTTCAGGCAGCTAAAGCTGGACAGAGCGCTGCTCAAGCCGATACGGACACCGTTGCCCGGCTTCACCGGGGACTCTATCGACGCCGAGGGCACGATAGTCCTCCTCGTGGAGGTCGGCGACGGCTCGCATCGCATCAAGATCGACATGAAATTCATGGTGGTCAACCTTGAGTGCGCCCACAACTTGATATGGGGGCGGCCAGCACTAGAGGATTTGGAAGCCATCATCTCCATGAAACATCTATGCCTGAAGTTCCCTACTAGCGGCGGTATCGGCTATGCCCGAGGGAACCAGGAGATCGGGCATGCTACCTGAAACTGACAAAGCCGGCAGCCAGCGCCGGGCAGAGAATAGACACCATCACCGCCGCCGTCTCCAAAGACGAAGAAAGGCCGCACGCCGAGCCATCCGAAGAGGTCGGGGAGGTCCCCCTGGATACCTCCCGGCCGGAGCAGGTCCTGAAAATCGGGAAACAACTCCCACAGGACCAACGCGAAGGCATCCTCGACGTCCTGCGGACATATGCGATCATTTTTGCGTGGGGGTTGGACGACATGTCGGGCATCAACCGAAGAGTGATCACTCACCGACTGTCAGTCGACCCCGCCTCCACGCCAATCAAACAGAAGCGGCGCTACCTCTCGGCCGACAGACTTGACTTCGTCAAAGGGGGGTTACCATGTTCCTCTCAATCAACCACATCAAAGAGGTGAAGTACCCGACCTGGTTGGCCAACGTCGTCCTCGCCCAGAAGCCGCCAACGTTCAGAATGTGCGTTGATTACACTGACCTGAACAAGGCATGCCCTATGGACCCGTTCCCTCTCCCCAACATTGATCAATTGGTGGACGAGACTAGAGATGGAAATTGTGACCGAACCGATGGATACCCGCACTGAACCGCCCCGGTCAAAATGGGGAAAACCACATTGACCGGGAAATGGGTACGGGGCGGGGAATCCCCGTTTTATTTTTACGGGTAATGGGGCGGTTACGGTTTTATACATACCCGCCCCGTTTATTTGTAGATATATTTTTATTATATTTGTATCTATTATTTGTCTAACAACTATTAAAAGATGAGTTTTTTTCTTTCCATTGTGTATATATAGATAGTAGATGTACCAACTATAATGTATGAATGAAAGTTCCTATTAGATTTTAATAGTCTTGTTTGATTATTACCATATTTTTTTGTGATTAATCATTTTTTAGATCAAGTATTTTTAGTTTCAAATTAATTTAAGTTGCTTCCTTTCTCGTCTTGTAGATATACGAATCTTTAAATGGACATCTGAAGTGTAGAGTCGTCCAGGCGATGTCATTCTTCGCCTTTTAAAATATTATTTTCATCTCAAAATTTTATGACTCAATTA